CATCATCATCATCATCATCATCATCATCATTATTATTATTATTATTATCATCAGGTGTTGTGAGAAGACTATGGAGGTGATGCGTAGCTCGCAGGAGGCGATCGTCACCATCCTGGAGGTGCTGCTGCACGACCCGCTCTACGCGTGGAACCTGACGCCGCTGAAGGCCTGCGCCGTGCAGCAGCGCAAACACGACGAGAGTGCCATCGCCGCCGCGACGACCGCCAACACGGACCTGCTCGACGTGGAGACGGCCGCCACCGCCGCCGGCAAGGCTGGTATGCGTGCGTGCGGGTGTGGGTGGGTTGTCTGGTTGGTTGTGCGTGCCTGTGTGTGTGTGTGCAGGTGTACACGCATGAGTGTGTGTGCGCGTGTATGTGTGTGTGTGCGTGCGTGCCTGTGTGTGTGTGTGCATGTGTACGTGCGTGAGTGTGTGTGCGCGTGCATGTGTGCGTGAGTGCGTGTGTGTGTGTGCGTGTGTACGTGCGTGAGTGCGTGTGTGTGCGTGTATGTGTGTGCGCGCGTGCGTGAGAGGCGGGTTGATGCCGCTCGTGCAAGCGTGGAGTGACGCGTTACAGCATGCTGAAAGAGTCGTGTTTCCTGTCGCTACTGAGTGCACGGCGATAGAGAACGTCTGCATTCACGCGGAAGAAACGGATGTCATCTTGCAAAATAGCTGGGGGAAGCAATCAATCAATTTGTCTAATTACCTGGTGTTGCGTGTATCATGTTTTGTGCTCAATTGACCCATCCCCCTGAAGTAATTGACAGGTAGCTCTAACCAATAGGCATTGTGATCGGGAAATTCTTGAAAAATGATGCATTGTAACGATGTGCCCCAAAGTCATTTTTTAGCGCAACACGTACAGACCATGGGTAGGCTTGGCAGACGTAACGACAGTATCGAAGTAGGTCACAGTTCACTCCCTCCGGCAGGTTGGGAAATTCCTTGTTCATTACCATACTAGTACGCTGCAGTCATCCCTACGTTCATGATTCTTGATTTATGACGCGTGCAGGTCACGGCTCAGACGCGGATGTGAATAAGATGGCAGAGCGAGTGTTACTCCGCCTGAGGCAGAAGCTGCAGGGAGTTGAAGATGGTGTTCCCCTCAGTATCGAAGGCCAGGTAATTATCATTAAAGGCCCCAGGAATCCTATATGTATGATTAAACGTCCATTCGCCAATGTATGTTTTATTTTAAATTCATTATTACATAATACCATGAACGTAAACACGGTAAATATGAAACTCATGATCATATATACAGGTTCGATTAATGGCAGCAATCAGCAGTTTTGCTGCCTACAAGAATTAGTTTGCTGCATGCAAAGTTATTTAAACGTTCATCTGCCAGGACGTTACGCGAATGTAAGGTTTCCTGTGGGCTTCTAACTCATCCACTTCTTTTCATATCGTCATTCGAACTAAATTGCAGCATGTGTTCACTACTCTTAACGTGAGTGCGTAACACAACGCTGATGTGATATCGTTTGCATTCGTCACGCGCCGTTTGTGCTGCTGTTGTGGCCGCAGATACTTGCCGTCACCACGATTAGCTTTGGAACTCGTTTGTTCGTGTTCAGGTGAGCCATCTGATCCAGGAAGCACGGGATCCAAAGAACCTCGCGTGTCTGTTCCCCGGCTGGCAGCCATACCTCTAGCCGTGCACGCACGCGCTCGTGTAGCACTGAGCACAGCCTGCACATGCTCACTCACGTACTTCCTCACACCTGTTTTGGCTGGACGTGCCTTCTAACAGGTATTCTTTACATCTGCAGTGATCGCTCGAACTATAGCCTTGTGCGCAACTTAGTTAAACTTGTGCTAAACATAACTAAACTTGTGTTAAACAGTGCTAAACTTGTGGGCGAAACACTCGTGCGCAAACATTTTTGCACATTCAACTAGGCTACCAGAGCCTATATCTGCTGGATTGCACCTATTACTTATTTCACATTTATTTTTTTGAAGTCTGGAAGCTTTGAAAATTACAAATGTGGGTAACTATAATGTGCAGTACCGTTGCGGTTCCCCATTACTGTGATGATCCTGAAGTGCTAATGTAAATAGCTTCCCATGTAAATATGCCACCATCTAAAACTTCAGTGGTAAAAAATCACTCGCGTTCGTGCTTGCCAATGCTAGATTTGATTGCATACAAATCCAGTGTGTTTAATCCACTGCTGCTTAATTTTATATCAGCAGTCTTCAGTTAATATCGGAAACAAAGCAAAACCTAAATACCTCTTTTTTAAGGTTTTCATACATCAAGCATGCCTGGAGGTTGGTGCTCATGAAAGTTTATTTTGATATTACCAATGATGTTCTAGTTGTGTTCCTTAATTTGTTTGTATAGCTTTTATGTGATCATACATTTTTGCAAGAAAGATATTTGTAAAATTTCAACGGACTGATATTGCAGCCAGATGCAAGAAATCATGATAGTGACCAAAGTTTTTTGAGAAATACGACCATTATATGTGCTCAAAATGCAAGTTCAAGAGCTAGTTTTGTAAAATTTATTTTACTTTATAAGTATACTGAAGAACAAGTTGTTTTTTCACATTATGTTTTATGTCAGGTTCTTGAGCTGTTTATATAAGAAATAACATCAGTTTGTATAAAAACCTCGTATCTGTTTGCTAACTATATGCAATATATTCGTCTTTCGGTAGTGCACATATCATTGTCATTGTTCATTAGTTTATCCTTTAGTAGCATTTATCTTTTATTACCCTTCTGCAAGGGAGTGGATTGAATTAAATCGAGAGGGAGTGAGTAAGCAAGCAAGAGAGAGAGAGAGCGAGAGAGAGAAAGAGAGTGAAATGGAATTACAGGCACAGCGATCATATGGCTTGACATATACTGGTAACAACAAGCACTTACTGGACCTGCAGCTATAGATTATTAATTATTTCATATGACGTCTACAAAATTATACACGTTTAATTAAGCAATACAAGCATTTTTAGCATTTATAGCAACTGAACTGTCATGACTTTGTATTGTAAAAAAGCGACTAGTTTGCCTTTGTGAACAGTGTGTTCCAGTCTGGCCAGAACGTATCTCTGACGCGGTTCGTGTACTCCTGCACGTTCGGACATTCCTTGCTGATTATCTCCCTGTGCGGATGGTCTAGCGGAACGTAGACGACTTGCGACAGGTGACAGAACATCCACGCATCCACCTGTAACGTTGTCGAGCAGAATGTTAGCAAACCTATGACTGTGAGATATATTTCAGCTTAAAGCAAAGTGAAACCATCCCATGCACCCTGTCTGCTTGGCATTGATAGACAGCTGTAGCCAATCAGTACTGCAATGGGACGTTCTAAAAGCAATGCTCAGCGACATTATGCTGCAGAGTTGACATCTTGGTGTGCACTACGTACAAACCAATCCACACCACGTATGTGCGGACCAACTACCCAGGGAGGGGGGGGGCATGGTTAACTCACTCGGATAGATATAGGTCAATTATTAGAACATCTGTAGTAACGCAAGCATCTCAGAAGGAACTGATAACGCAACAATTAAACAAAGTAAACACTACTACATCTTGCGAGTATAACGTCAGAGATATAATGTCGCCGTACCGACGTTGGGTTGTCTCCCATCAGAAACTTCTTGGTGCCGAGGAAATTTGATATGGCATGGATTTGATCGCTAACGATCATTCTGTACTCGTCCTTTGAATGCCGTGCAATTCCTGCCATCCAGAAAGTCTTGAATGCCTATGTCGATAAAAAAAACCATGTACATGAGCTCATAACATTAGATCAGGAGTGTATCAATATTGATACACTCCTGATTAGATGCGGGTTTCAGTCATTACTGAAATGCACTGTTGTCACGCATAGATGATATCAGAGATATATCGCTCCCACCACGTCTATAATGACACTGTATTTCCTTTTTAGATATGTTATATGGTTGTCCTATGTATTTACATGTATCGTTACTTATTTGATGCCAAAGGTGCACGTATAAGCTCATAGGGTTATGTGAAAGTATCAGTTTTTAGCTCATAGCATCATCTGGAAGCATCAGTTACTTTGATTACACTACCAATACTTTTCTTAAACTGCCTGCAACAGCAGTAAACTGAATTATGTGGTTAAAAGTACTTTGTGGAGCACTTACATATTTCTTCATCATGTAGATGTTTATGCAGGCTGGCAGGTAAGACATGGGAGCGGGCACAATATGCGAAAACATACTCCAGAAGACGTCCGCTGCCACGTAATAGCGGTAGAATGCATAGGTGCTGTTAAAGGGAAGGTGCATAGATAATGAGGTTATATCATTTCAGATATTCCATATATTCAGGACTATTGCATAACTAACACACGCAGTAGCTGTTTTACTACGTGGCGTTTAAAGCCCCAAACATGCAACCTTCCTAAAACAATTCGTACAATTCGTAGAGTAAGCCCTCGAATGTCCAGTCAGGTCACGGTCTTGTTGGTCAAAGTCTTTTAGTTGACCATCCCAGATCATGTATTTTCTGCAGCTCTTCGGTAGTATTTCACTACACTCAAACACCATGATTGCAGCCAAGAATACGTAGTTGTTATTTATCGATTCAGTTTAATTATTCGACTTGGTGTTTATTTGAAATGATCCGTTTATAGTTAGTCTGACAGTGCACTGTACTTAGGCAACTACCCATTGCTAGATGGGGGTTGAGCCACCTACAAGGCAAAAGAAACCTCCATCATCTCCTTGAAGGCGAAAGAAACGGCAAGCTGTTCGCTTGTCAGCTTGCCGTCGATGTCAGAGTGGAAGTGGTCTGCGAGTTTCTTGATGATAAAATTCGAGTCGGAGTATTCTTTTCCGTTCAGTTCGATCCACGGCCATTGCTTCTTAGTGGACATCTGTTGTGTCACGATCAACTGCAAGTGGCCGTATTTGTTAATTACAGACACTCGGAGGCGAAGCCACTGTAGGAGCAAATCTCTCTGTTTACGACTGAGGACAATAACAGTTAATCGAAAATGTTTGCGCTGTTAAATATGAAGTGATAAACAGAAGAGATCAGTGAAGTGATCAGAGTTAATGATTCACTGATTTAATTAAAAACAAATGAACAAATAAAGTTATTTCTGCACAATCCTCACATCACTATCAGTTCAATTAATGTCATCGTCATATTGTTTATCATATATATAAATATATATAATATATAATGACGTATTAGACTCTCACCTCGTACTTGATGTTGTTCATGCGCAGCCATGTTTCTACCTTCAATGTGAACGGTGAGAAGTGCACTACCCCACACTTTTTCGGGTTGCCGGGGAACGAGTAGACGTACACCTTGTTATGTTCGTAGTTCTTCGTGAGCAGCGGCCGTTCGGCCGAGGTCCTTCCCTTGACGGCGCGCCACACGACCAGCCCACCAGCCATAGCACCGAGTCCAACCAGCACACGCGTGTCAATCTCTATGTCCTTACACCAACGCCATGCTGCCTCTAGGTCCATGCTGTTTGTTGCTGAATCTACAGAGAGTAATCTATACAGTAGTTGACTTATCTGTCTGGTGTGATTGACAGGCGGCTCTATCCAATCAGCGTTGAGATAGGGTCATTAGCAAAATGGCGCAAGCGAAGAAACTTAGCAAAGCTCCTCAAGTTCAACAATTTTGCATGCACACGTAAAAACGCACTAGTCTTGTTATTTGCGTTATCTTTATGACGATCAAGACCAAATGATAGTCTATTCTTGCCGCGGTAAAACGCATAGCCTAGCATCAATCAGTACTTGTAGTTGTAGTTGTTAGCAGTCGGATGTGAGCAGATTACGTAAACGCCGTTTGTCGGGCACGAGCGGTCGCCGTTAGCGAATTCTAGTAATAGTTATATCTTGGTTATATCTAATAATAATATAGCGTTCTGCACTTTGTTGGCTAAATAGCGAACGGTTCCGCGTTAGAAGCGGGAGCTATAACTAGGGCATTGATGGAATGCATCCTGACACTATATCAGCTAGGGCGCTGATCACTCAGCTGTACAGTAGGGGTGATGGACACCCATGCCAATTACTGCTACTAACGAAATTTCCCCCTCGGCTCACAGTAAGACTGTTTGAATGTCCTTGGTAATATATAATCCATTACAATCAGCGCTGCAGATGGGGAATGCGTCAATACCGTACAACATTGGCAGCATGTGTCATGTACCACTAACCGCAGCGAAACGATAACGTATAATACATGTATAACCCTGAGAGAGCAGCATATAGGCCTTCCCTGTCAGATCCCTTACCTGCCAGACCGTGCATGCTTCGTCGGGGGTACGTTAATTATGGTATCTACACAAACCCATAGAACACATCGACTCTATTTCTACATGCACTGCTGTCGACATGTACGTGTGATGTTACTTACGTATGTGTGCACGTAACCGACGTATGTATCCGGGTGCTCTCTGCTCCTGCCTGTGCTGCGTCGACTGCCTCGGCTCGGAAATGGACCTTCGATCGACCTCCCTCACGCCCCGTGTGCGAGCTGTTTGTTGATCTGGACAAGGTACATGGAGCAGCACTCACTGTGGCTCATAGGGTCTATGTCCCCCAGGGTACTGCCGGAACGTACCCTGGGTACGTTCCGGCGGAACGTACCCTGGTCACTATTTGATATGGTTAGGGTTAGGGAGTAGGCGTAGGCGACTCCCCAGACTCGTTAGTGGAGTAGGCGAGGTACGGTCCGGCATATTAGATAGTACCAGGCTACGTTCCGGTATACCGGACTGTACCCAGGGTACGTTCCGGCAGTACCCCGGGGGACATAGACCCTCTCAGCCTCACGCTCTTGTTACGTGCCAGGTTTCGCGCTCCGCACTGCTAACGATATTGAATAAACCGATTTGAATAAACCGGTGTGGTGGGATGGGTGCTTGCGTACCTGTGCGTGAGTTTGGGGGGGGGGGGGTCATACCACTTGCCAAGTCGACCGCTGCACCACGACCACCGCCGCGTATTTTCCATGATAACCCCATAGTCTCATAAATGTTAGTCTTCAAAGGTAGTGGGGTCTGTGGGGACTATAGCGAAGACGGAGGTCATGATGCCATGATCTGCGATCGAGAAAACAGCGGCAAACCACACAAGGTGTCGCAGTTTCGGTTGATATAACAGGTGCGGTTGTGGGATTAGTTTCTAGAATATATGCCAGGGTGAGAAATTAACGGGAGTCCGGAGTCAAATACTTCCTGATTTACTGCCGGACTCCCTGATTTGACATATGCAGGAGTCCGTGTGACTCCCAGAAAATTCTGCGATACTAACTAGTTCGTTCCGGAGCACGCCCTCGCACAATTACTGTATTTTTTCAAAGAAAATTTGGCAGACGTGAACTGCATGAATCTTAAAAATAAGCACATGCGTTATTGTTAATATCTTTAATTTTGAACCTCAGACTGCGGACTCCCTCATTTTGCTGCGGACTCCCTCTTATTGAGGGTAGGGAGTCCGTTGGACTCCCTTGTTCAAAACTAAATTTTTACCCCTGTATGCTACTGATTCATGACGGGAGGCCCTATATTATCTCAAACGTTATCGCTGTGTGTTTCTGTGCGGTCTTATCCTGACAGCCAGGTACGTGCATGCGTGATAGCTTGTGTGTGCGCGAATGTCATCCTGGAATGCAGAACCCCTCTCAGACTGCAGGCCTTCTAACCATTCTTGGCGTCGGTAGTTAAGTTGGATTCCCAGTAGAGTCTTGGGCTAAAAATATTTTCAGTCACGACATCTGACTTTCCGCTAATATAAATGCTATGGAGGAAAATGGCAAGGGTACTAAAATAACACAACTGGCAATAATAGTGATATTAATAATCACAATTATAACGGTAGGAAAGATAATAGACGATGGGTAGAATTGGTCGCTGGTATCACCTACGTATGGATATAATAGCTCTTTGTTTAAAATTGATTATCCAATCGGACAACTGTGTTAGCCATTGGAATCCACAAGCGTAAAACTCAAAGAAATAACACCGAAGTGAGGATATGTAGTGTAAATGCGGCTTACGTTCAGGAATACATCGCTAGCCAGGATTAATTGTTACGTAACAAAGCTCATTTTATTTATTAAATTAATTCTTGAAATTTATACACGGAATAAACGTGGTTAATTATTTCGTTTTATTTTCTGAGCCACCCTCAGTGCGTATTCAAGCAGGTTCACATTTCTTCGTCTGTGTGGACGCGTCTGTAGTCACGTCCTTTCCATCTTCTACGTACTAAAGCGCATTTCCTAGCAATTGGAAATATCAAGAGCTTAATTAGCAAAGTAATAAATAGAAACGAAATTCAGTAATTTATATTTTATCACGCGATTCTTCGACAGTAATGACGTGTACCGATGGTGGCATCGAATGAATCTTATATGGATGTGAGCTTCAGTTCTATTCACTTTAGTAGTTAGCTGTTGACGTTCAATAAACGTTACTGTGAGCAAAGGTAGGGTTTGTGAGAGAATGTGTTCTCACTGACCTTCCGTTGAGAAAAGCGACGCGATCGTTGGTATCCAACTTCTTTGCATAACTTCTTCGTGGCCTGGTGTGACGTTGTAACCTTCAGTTGGTTCTCTCAAGTCAGTGCGTTTTCGCGTGGGTTTTACCCTGGTTTTACTGTGATGGAGAGAGCGTAAGTATGCATGAGTTCACAGTCGATTAGCTAAAGTTTTTATACTCACTTGCACCCGGCATTATTACCGATTTCACAAGGGGTTGTAGACATTTACAAGATACTGAATCACTCGTTTAAACTACTAGGGAACCACTTACACTTCTAGGAATGTTGTGCAGGAGATGAGTACACGCTATCGGCAGCGCTACGAGCGTCTAAAATCATGCTGACATCAGGAAAGGTGCCCCGACTTCAGGAATCCTCGAGGCTTTGCTAGCTGGAAGTAAACATAAATATATGCGTGTAGTGTGCGTGTGTGCGTATGCGCGTGCGTTCTCGCGTGCGCGCCTACGTGCGTTGGTGTGCGTTCGTGCGCGCCAGTCCGTGTGCGTGTGTGCGGCGATAGTTTCACCTTGCCGTTTTATCTCTCTAATAAGGGCGGCACACAAGAAATACGATTAAGCATACATGTACGTAAGTTGATAGCATGGTCACTGTTGCCAACCTATGTAAGCTCCACGAGATCGCCAGTAACTAGAAGAATAATTAGCTGAAAATGTATGCAAACAATCGAGAGGAATCAAGCTTGATTACTCACGCATACGCATACACACATGCGCAGTCACACGAGCGCGTGCATGCACTCACTTTCATATTTATACTTACCAAGTCGCGAGGATTTGCGGCAAATATCTTTCCAGTCGGGTCAGCTTCTCGGATATCGGCTTGATTTTCAGACGCTCGTACCGCTGCTGATAGCGCATACTCGCTCCTTTCCCCCTACGTCACCATCGCATTCTTGCATCTGTTTGAACACCTGCGCGAAAATAAACATAATTACTAGGATCTCATAGCGTGAATGTAATTAAATTAGCAATTTGCGTGACAGTAAAAGTAGCCTAATACTAATACTAGTAATAGTAATAGATCTAGTGAGAACAAAGTCCATTGCCGAAATTGTATTTTGAAATATTCAATGATTATGAAATTCAAATAAACAACTCGACAAGTGTGTATAGTTTATATACTCACGCGGCCCACGATGTCTTCATGGCGCTTCCTCGAGATGTCCTTAGTTTGTTCATTGCACAACTCTTTCACGATGGATTTCGACAAAAAAGAATGTTTTCTCACCTTTCCGTATTCTTGGGGAACCTGAAGAAAGACAGGTCGGGCTTACACTGACAATTCCAGCAATTTACAGCAGAACAGTAAGCTGAGCTGACAGCACACAGCAGACAGTTGCACAGTAGCTGATACAGCAGCATCCGGGAACTTCATGTGAACTTGCTTCCTAAAATGGCGGTTGTGGCGATCCATGACCTACTACGCTATTATTGGAGAGTGGTTTATCTTGTGCCTACGGCACTCTACGATCTTTGGCCACTACGGCCCTGAGAAAACTTATACTTATCTAGCGGTCATAAACCAAAACAAACATTTACAAACGGCGTTTGTTCTCTTGTCTTGA